TACCAAAAAGGACAAGCAAAAACCTCTTCTAAGGGAGACGTTTCTAAGAACAAGTTTCATGAGAAATGCTTCAGTTGTCGCAAGATGGGCCACAAGCCATCTGATTGCAAGGCTCTAAAGAAGAAGAATAAGAATTCTCAAGCTAGCATGGTGAAACAAAGAGATCAAGAGGAAGCCAAAATCATCCTCTTGCTCATGGTGACTGAGGTGAAGCTGGTGGGCTCAAACCAACTTGAATAGTTCATCAACACCAATGCAATAAGGCACATCTGCTCTAAACGAGAGTTGTTTAGCAATTTAGCACCTTCAAGACCATTGATGGAGAAAAGGTGTGGATGAGAAGTTCTCCTTAGTCTATTGTGGAAAGTATGTGGCAAAGTGATTCTGAAAATGATCTCCAGGAAAGAGCTAACTCCGAATAACGTATTCTATGTCTTGAAAGAATTAAATTTTTTACTCGTTATTGGACAAGCATTGATTCCGAACGATCTATTTTAACATATTGCCCTTAATTTGAGTTATTTATGTGTGGATATTAATTATAGTAATAAATATAGAGTTAATTCCAGCAATGGTCCTCCAACCATTGCAATTTTTCAAAATTAGTCATTGACTTTTAATTTGGACAATAAAGACACTTGTCTTTCTAATTAATTCTATTAATGGTCCTTTTGTTATCTATCTGTCACTTAACTGTTAGTTTAGGGGGCAAAATAGTCTTTTCATTAGCTAGCTTTCTTTTCCTCCCTTGCCTAGCTTCTCCGCAGTCCATATTTGTCGTGGGTCTCTCACTAAACACATTTTCAAGAAATTCTTGGCCGCAGGGGAGAGATGGTTTTGTATTTCCGGGCTGGTTAGCGCTATTTTCATGGCTAACTCGTGTTTGTTGGCGCCTTGCCACATGGGTTTCCCGGTGAGCATCTCGACGAAGATGCAGCCCATCGCCCGGATATCATTTGTTCCGTGTACAATTTCCAGGTTAAAGACTCCGGCGGCGCGTACGGCAACGTCCAGCGATGGGAATCGCGGTAAACATTCTCCTCGCCGGGAAACATGGCGAGCCCGAGGTCGCAGAGCTTGAGGCGGTGCCCGCCATTGTACTTTCCAAGGAAGACGAGAACGTTGCCGGGCTTCAAGTCGCAGAGGAAGATTCCGACAGTGTGCATGATACCGTTGAGAAGCTGAAATAATTTTCATCGGATGTTCATACATTAATCTGCGTATGATCGCCGGCCAGGAACTAGAATCTAACAGTACTAGGACCCAAGCAGCTAACGTCCATGACTCTGTTGAAATTCCTCTCAGTTTTTCTCATCTTCACCTCTCGCATCACCTTCCCGGACACCACCGTCGATGACGGTAGCGCCAACGAGGATCTCCAGGCCTAGTAGGACGCTTCCACCTTGCTCTTCGCATGCTGGTGCAGCGTCCTCATGCCGCGCGAAGCCCTGGTCATCAGCGCCTCCACCGCGGCCATGCTCGCCGTCACTATCCACACCGCTTTCTTAGCTCCGCCGCTCATTCTGTCTCTCTCTCCAGTGAACAATGAGTGGTTTGAATGAATAGACAGATCTAATAGGGAGAAACTGAAGTGTTGCTGTACTACAGTACCACCATTAGTGCCTGAACATTGCAATTTGTTTTAAGCCACAATCTTCTAAATATGTTGGCATGTGTGTGAGACTGGCCGTATAGTCTTGTAGATGGTAGTTGCACATGTGCCTAAATTTGTTTAATGTTAATTGCGTCTTGTAAAGTTTTTGATGTTGAAATTTGGTTCTGTATATTAATCATTTGAATAAAAAGTTCGAATTGTATTTGTTTTGAAAAAATTGTACGGTATTGTTAAAGCTAATGGCTACTTCTGTCTTAATTAGTGCGAATGTTGTTTTGAATTCCTTTGTAATACGAAGGATTTCAAGACCTGGACTACTTACTTTCTTCTAAATCTTTGCTGATCATGCCACCATTTAGATGCCAAATTACCTTGCACATTCATAGAATCATAGTCATCCCGACTGTCTGTGATTATCTTCTGTTTGTTCAACTGTTTTTGCATGCCATGGGTTGTAATTGAAAGTGTTTCAAAGCATGGAATGCATCTGACCTCACTCGGGAGTGGAGTCCGCAAAATTCAGGTAAGCTCCAACCATTTATTGTTTATGTGAATATGTGATGAAATATGATTTGTCTGCATTGACATGGTTTCTTAGTAACTGAACACCTCTCATACCCTTGTGCAAAACTTATTTGGATTTTCGCTGTTCAGGCTTTTCATGTGGCTTCTTCCTTAGGAAAAACACGAGTACATTTACCTTGATATTGAACTAAAGGTGGTCTGTTCTGGAACTGAAGCTTACAAATGCGCCCAGCAGTTAAGGGATTTGTTTATGGAGTTGCATAACTATGAGCAGCAACTATATAGGAGGTTTGTTGAGGAAGAAATGAGGATTTTGCAGCTTCTCCTTTCCAACGAAGTATCTACCTGATTGAATCCAGTGGTAGGTGAGGGATTTGGACAAAAAAGACCATTTTACCCTCAAAACTAACGGCTAAGTGATGGATGGATAACAGAAGGACCATTGCTGGAACAAATTAGAAAGTCAAGTGTCTTTTTTGTCCAAATTAAAAGTTGATGACCAATTTTGGAAAATCGCAATAGTCGGAGGACTATTGCCAAAATTAACTCAATAAATATACAAGGAGAATTTATAGTAACAAATATGAAGGTACTAAATTTCAGTGTTTAAGTAAAATGGATATTTATTTATACGATATTTGTATTTGACCTAAGTTGCTCGCAAATAGTATTGTTAAAGCGGGTTAATCTTTCTCACCGCGAGCTTAATTTTTGAAAAATGTTTACAGGTCAGTCCGCAAAGCCTGCAAGCTAGGATTCAAGTAACCCTAACCTGCCCCATGCGAGTTGGCCCGTGGGTTAACTTGGATTGTAACATTGTAATTTTCGAAGCATATTTACTTTTTTATTAATATTTTTTACTGATTTATTTTGTCAAATCCTCAAATATAAAACATAGTTGAAGTGACAATTTTGGTTGTCCTCAACAATTACGTGAATCTAGGAAAGAGTTAATACATCCAATGGTCCTTCGAGTATTAGTTATATACCAACTGTGGTCATCTGATTTTTAAACGACCACGAATCGTCCTCCATCATTTAAAAAATAACACATGTAGTCCTCCGTTAGATTTTGCAGTCAAATGGGCGTTAAGTGTGAGGACAAATATGTCATTTCACTTATATTAACTAAAAATACAATCAAGTAAAGTCATAACCTGGGTAGGTTTTATTCTCTCTCCCTGAGAACTAGGGTTTTCTCTCGTACCCCCCTGAGATCTAGGGTTCTGTCGGTTTTCTTGCGTATGATCGGGCGATCATCGGCGATTTGGCTATGGATGTGCGTGAAATCATTGCATCTACTGCGGAGATACGTCTGGAAGATGAAGAACAGGGTGTGCGTTTTGATGACGAGGGATATGGTGTCGCGATGCAACTGCCGGAACGTCGCACATGGACGTTGGTTGGCCGGTTCCTTACGGACCGAAACATGAAAGTGGAGATGATGAAGCGAGTCATGGCCTCGGCATGGCGGCCACTCATGGGAATTGAGATAACGGACGTTACCCCGAACTTATATCTCTTTACATTCTTTGATGAGGCAGACATGCGCCGGGTGTTGGAGGAGGGTCCTTGGGCGTTTGAGAACGCGACGTTTCTTTGCCAGGTTTTGAATGACGGGGAAGATCCAACGCAAGTAGTGTTGAACACTGTGGACTTCTGGCTGCAGGTTTATGATATTCCATTGGGATACCGGACTGTAAAGGTGCTTGAGCGGATTGGGGATTTCACGGGGGTGTTTTTACGTTATGATGAACGTAATTTTGAGAGACCATGGACCTCGTTCTACCGGGTACGTATAACACATGATGTATTTGTCCCTTTGAAACGTCGTATGAAGATGATCATGCGGGATGGGACGTGGGTCTGGATAAATTTCAAGTATGAGCGTTTGCATATGTTCTGCTTTTTTTGTGGTGTAATGGGGCATACTAATAAATTCTATTTAGCTGCTCGTCGTTCGTTATTGACACCGGATCAATATCTGTTTGGTGCGGCTATGAGAGCGGGTGGTAATAATCTGGCCAAGATATTGGGTGATAAGTGGTTTAAGATAGGGCAGGAGAGAAGGAAAGAAATCGGGTTTGGTGTTGGTGGCTACGGACACATTGTTGCGGTAGCAGGTGGGCCGGCTATATCCGGAACAAGGGGTTGGGTGGCGGTGGGTAGAGCTGCGGGGGAGGGTGGTGACGGTCAGTTGGGGTTGGCGAGGGAGAAAGGGGTAGTTGGGGAGGAAGAGGGAGTAAGGGTGGATCCAAAGAGACGTAGAATGGATGGGGAGATTGGTGGTGGAGTGGAAGTAGGGGTGGACATTGAGCTGGAAAGCTTATGTTTGGCGGATTCTGAGAATGGGGTGGTAGGGGGCACCGGGTGAGGGAGGGAGTGGTGATGGAGGAGGATATAGCAATGACGGATGTTCAAAAAAACTTGCAGATGGCGGGTGCTGCGGTGCAGACCCGCCCGACCCAATGAGTACTTTGAGCTGGAACTGCCGTGGCTTGGGTAATCCACGGACAGTTCGGGAAATTGAGGACATAGTGTCCCACAAGAAACCCGATTTTGTATTTCTGATGGAAACTAAGGTTAACCGAGATCATGCAGAGCGACTTCGGATTAAGCTTGGTTTCGAAGGCCTTTTTAATGTGGATAACACTGGATTGAGTGGAGGACTGGCATTGTTATGGAGAACGAATGATACTGCATGAATAATTGGTTATTCTAATAATCACATAGATGTTGAGGTGAGTTTGCCAGGTTTTGATAAGTGGAGGATGACTGGTTTCTATGGCTTCCCGAAGCGTCCGCAGAGAAGGGAGTCGTGGGACCTTATTCGGTCATTGGCAAGTAAATCGGATCTGCCATGGGTAATCATTGGAGATTTTATGATCTCTTATATCAGTATGAGAAACGAGGAGGAAATCCCCATCCAGACAGCTTGCTATGGGGCTTTGGAGAAACTATTGAGGAGTGTGGTTTGACACAATTACCAATGTCTGGATATCCCTATACTTGGGAGAAGGGAAAAGGCACGCCAAACTGGATAGAGGAACGATTGGATAAGGTTTTGGCTACTCAAACCTGGAGAGAGTTGGTGGCTGATGCAAATGTGCAGAATATATTAACCCGGAAATCAGATCATTCTTTCCTTTTCATTGGGATTCTCAATCTTCGGGGAAGGAGGGGTGTTCTGAGAAGGGGTTTTCGTTTTGAGATGGCATGGCTACATGATGAGGGGTGTAGGGAAGTGGTGGAAAAATCCTGGGGCGAAGGAAGAAGTAGGGGGTTGCAGGAGTGTGTCACTCTATGTGGTGATCGGTTAACACGCTGGGGTGGAGACTGATTCCATAAATTTGGTGAGAAAATATTGAACTTGCGTAAGGAACAGTTACGCCTCAGGGGGTGTACGGATCCGGTATCCCTAGCCGAGTTTCGGAGACTAGATGAATGTTTGGCTCGTATTGAATTACAGGAGGATACGTACTGGAGACAGAGGGCCAAACAGCATTGGCTCAAGGATGCAGATGCAAACACCAGGTTTTACCACAGGTATGCTTCTCATCGAAAGAAAAAGAATGTTATTACTAAAGTTATGAATAATGATGGGGATTGGATTGAGGGGGATGCCATGAGGAATGTAATCTTGGATTATTATCGTGGTATTTTTAACTCGAGTTCTCCTACTGTTAATGATGATTTCTTTGGGAGTATACAATCACGTGTAACAGGCACACAGAATGAGAGTTTATTGCGCCCATTTGAAGAGAGTGAGGTTAAATCTGCATTGTTTTCAATGTATCCTGATAAAGCACCAGGCCCGGATGGTATGAACCCTGGGTTTTATCAGCACTTTTGGGATGTAATGGGTACTGATGTTTCTTCTTATATTTTGAATTGTGTGAATACTTGCTCAATGCCTGATAAATTGAATGAAACAAACATTATTTTGATCCCCAAGAAGAAAACCCCGGAAATGGTTTCTGATTATAGGCCAATTGCGTTGAGTAATGTCGTTTACAGAGTTATGGCGAAGATGATTACAGCCAGGATGAAACCACTAATGGAGAATATTATATCTGAGTCCCAGAGTGCATTTATATCTGGAAGGCTAATTACAGATAATATCTTGATAGCTGCGGAAGTTGGCCATTATTTGAACAGCAAGCAATGTGGACTAACAGGTTGGGGGGCTTTAAAGCTGGATATGGCTAAGGCTTACGACCGTATGGAATGGTCTTTTTTGCAAAGGATGCTAAGGGCACTGGGATTTGATGAAAGATGGATAGAGTTATTGATGATGTGTGTAACCACTGTGTCTTACAGTGTACTGGTAAATGGTTCAAGGACTGATCAAATAACCCCGACTCGTGGTTTAAGGCAAGGTGATCCCCTGTCACCTTATTTGTTCATTATTGGTGATGAAGGGCTTTCAATATTATTAAAACAGGCACATGCAAAGGGAGAGATACATGGCTGTAGAGTGGCTAGAGGAGCTCCCTCCATTACCCACTTATTCTTTGCTGATGATAGTCTGCTTTTTTTCAAAGCAAATATTCAAGAGGCGGGTGTGGTTAAACGTTGTTTGTCGGAATATGAAAAGATGTCTGGCCAGGCAGTTAACTATCACAAATCGAATATTTGTTATAGTAAAAATACACGAGGTGAAATAAGGAAGGAGATTGCCGATATATTGGGAGTTGTGCAGGCGCAGAATTTTGGAAAATATTTGGGGCTTCCATCATTTGTGGGCAGGAATAGAAAAGTGGCGTTCTCTTATATTGAAGATAAGATAAGGCAGAGGATTAACTCGTGGAATAAGAAACTTTTGTCACAGGCAGGAAAAGAAGTTTTATTGAAAAGTGTGGCTCAATCTATGCCTACCTTTTCGATGAGCGTTTTTCTACTCCCTACGACTCTGTGCACTGCCATTGAGCGAACCATGAATCGATACTGGTGGAGATCGAGAGATGACCAAGGTATTCATTGGAAAGCTTGGGATAAACTGTGTATCCCAAAAGAATATGGAGGATTGGGATTCAAAGAGTTGCGAGCCTTTAACCTTGCAATGTTGGGCAAGCAAGCGTGGCGCTTTCTGACACAGCCACAATCATTGGTTTCAAGAGTTTATAAAGCCAGGTACTATCCTACTAATTCTTTCTATGAAGCATGCTTGGGAAATAACTCAAGTTTTTGTTGGCGAAGTATTATGGCGGCACAAGATTTGATTTGTGGAGGGGTTAGGCGCAGGATTGGGGATGGCAAATCAACTTTGATTTGGGACCATCCATGGTTGCAAGATGTGAGTCAGCCGAAAATATTAACAGAAAAACCACCCCAATTGGCACAGGCAAAGGTGATGGGACTGATGGATCAACAGACAGGAAACTGGGATCAGGATATTCTAACTGATATTTTTGACCCTGAGGATGTAGAGCGAATTTTAAAAATACCCGTGTCACCAGATTATGAGGATTTGTGGTATTGGTATGGGGACCCAAAAGGAGAATATTCGGTTAAAAGTGGCTATAGAACAATAGTAGGTAACTACACCCAAGCGGTTGGGACCTTTGATAAATGGAAAATATTATGGAAGCTTAAAGCCCCCCCTCCCCCCCCCCCCCCCCCAAGTGGAAAACATTTTTGTGGAGAGCTCTAAATGATATTTTGCCCACTGCAAAGAACCTACTTATAAAGAGAGTTGATATTGATCCAACATGTGCCATGTGTGGGATTGGGCATGAAGATATTGTGCATTCTTTGATCACATGTGATTATTCAACAAACATTTGGACACAATCCCACCTTCCAATCCCCAATAGTGTCACAAATATTTTCAGTGATTGGATTAATGATTTGATGAATATTTTAGATAATGATGGAATTATTTATGCAGTGGCACTCTTATATTATATTTGGCGTGCAAGGAATGGGGCTGTATGGGATGCGACCTTGCCCAGACCTCAGAAGATAATTGCAATGGCATCATCAGCTGTGAACGCTTGGAAAGTAGCCCATCCCGGTCTGCGTCCGCCGGCCACCTCCGCGGCATCAAGCAGCCGGACTGCTCCCGTGGTGGACACCCACACTGCTACGACGGTCCCTTCGGCAACAACCAATACTATTGCTGTGCCGACTACACCACAGTTGCCAACGCCGAACATGGTACACCAAGCCACGCAAAACATGAGGGATCAATGTTACTTTGATGCGGCGTACGACCCACAGACAAACAAAGCAGCGGTGGGAGCCATTATTCTAAATTGGCAAGGACATTATGTTTTGGCTATGACTGCCCCTATGATAGACTGTTTTTCGCCCCTAATGGCGGAGGCCTTTGCATGCAAGGAAGTTTTGTCGTGGCTAAGAAGTCGCGAAATAAAGTCTATCGAGCTCTTCACGGATTGTTTGGTGCTTCAACAATATTTATCATCTATGACACACTCGTCAAGATCGTACTTGGGTTATGCCATTGATAGTTGCAGGACTAGTATATTATCTTTTGATTATTGTTTACTTCATTATGTTCCTAGACTAGATAATTATTTAGCTCATACTCTAGCATCTACTGCAATTACTCAGTCAACTAGTATGTACTCGGACTATGATCCACCAGCATCTATTTTTGCATATTTTGAATAAATGCCGTACAGGCTCCTTTCAAAAAAAAGTAAAGTCATAACTGGTTTGGGACCATTTCTTTGTACCTAAGAATGAAGCGGTTGATGAAATCGTCGGCTTTCGCGTCCACCTCATGATCCACTTCCGCCGCTCTTTCCCTAATGGTCGTCGGCCAGCGAGGCTCCACGTCTTCTACTTTCTTTCCGAAGTGTTTAAACGCCGATTCATTCATCTTGGCAGGAAGCCTCGCCGGCATCTCCCTGGAAGATGGCTTAGTGTCCGATTTGCACCGGTTCACCTGCTTCCCCTTTAACCTGCTTCAGGTTTATCTTTATTTTTTTGCTGAAAGTGGTGGTGGGTGGGTATGAGCAGGGACGGAGCAAAAGGGGGGGGCAGCTGCCCCCCCCCCCCCACCCCACCCCCACCCCGACCCCCCCCATATATAGTCTTGTATGTATATATATATAGTACAACTTTTAGTATTAGTATAAAAAAAACTGTAAAATGTTAATGAGAGTTAGTTAGATTAGATGGTAAAGCATATATTTGGCAATAGTGAGGTTAAGGGTTCAAATCTTGGCTTGTTTCACTCCCCCCTCAACCAAATTTCTGGCTCCGTCTCTGGGTATGAGTTGGGCAAGATTGTCTGAATCTGGGGGTGAATTGTTTTAATTATCATTTCAAGGATTTGGGGGTGATAAGTAGTAAATTTCTCTTTATATTGTTTCAATTATCACAAAAACAATTTTAGTTTTATATGTTATGAATGTATATGCATTGCCTATACATTCCCAAAAAATATGAAAATATAATTATATTTTTCTATTGTATATTTTAATATCTTTTTATTTCTAAAAATTAGTATTTAAATTCATAAACACTAGTTATGTAATATAGGATTAAAATTGAGCCATTAAACATTACATTTATTTCTATTTAGACCGAAGTGCCGGCTAAAAAGACAAAAACAATTATCAATATGAGATTAATTATTAAGATCATTCAGAAAAGGACAATGTAGTGCACTGAAAGGGGAAGCTAGAAAGTTCGTAGAGATATTCTTTTAATAAAATAAGGAACTTCATACATGGGATGGAACTAATCCAACATCATTTCAAACTGCGAAACTGTAAACTTTAACCAAATTATTTTAGTCATCAGAATATGATTTGTGCTTTCCTTGAAGCTCGAGGGAATACCACTAACTCTTTCAAAATATTAGAGACCTCCCATGCCTCTACTACTTTCTTGTCCACAAAACTAACCCTTTCTAAGGCTGTGCAGCACGCAAGTATTAGTTTTACAAAAAGCATTTCAGCTCTTGACCCCTGGAAATATTTCATCTTCAAAGCCCGCAAACTGTTAATCTCCTCGCTCATGCAACTACGTTCTTGCAAATACTGTAAAACGAGGTTGTTGTCAGTAGTCACCGTTGGAACCTATACATACAACAAAACTGAAATAAGTTCAAAGCACAATAGTCATCGTTGGAGCCCTCGTTGGCGGCTGTGGCAGAGCAGGAGGAGTCTTCCGTCGTCGTCGTTGGCTCTTGCTCGCAGGAGAGGAGGAATTGTAGGGGAGGCGGAAACAGAGTAGGAACACAGCAAAAACTTTTCAAACTGCCCCTTGGAAGAGACTAGAGGCGGAAATTTTTATTTATTTTGCGAAGTACAGAACTAACGGAGAAATCTAAGATTATTAACAGATTCAATAACAGTGTGTGGATATTTAGGGAAAACTCTTTTGGGCTCTTATTAGTATAGTAGATAGTAGATAGATTATAATTCTAGTTTAAAATTCCTATTCTAATCTATACTTCTATACAATATATAACAACAAAATCCTAAACTTTAATGTCCTATCCAATTCCTAAAAAATTTCTCTTTCTAATAAAAATATATTGTTTTCTACTTTCATATTCGTACTATAATTTTAGGTTAAAATTCTTATTCTAATATTATAAAATAGTGTAATACAATTCCTATATAATAATCTAATCTATAGCTATACTATTATTAAAAACAAAATTATAATATCAATAACAATATGATTAATACTAATAATATATCCATACTATATATAAAAACAAAATCCTGAACTTTAACTTCCCGCACAATTCCTAAAAAATCTCTCCTTCTAATAAAATATATTATATTGTTTTCTACTTTTCTATTCGTACTATAATTCTAGGTTAAAATTCATATTCTAATATATATATATATATATATATATATATATATATATATATATATATATATATATATATATATATATATATATATATATATATATATATATATATATATATATATATATATATATATATACAAAATCCTGAACTTGAACTTTAACTTTCCTACCCAATTCCTAAAAAATCTCGCTTTATACTATATATAAAAACAAAATCATGAACTATAACTTCCCGCCCAATTCCTAAAAAATCTCGTTTTCTAATAAAATATATTGTTTTCTAATTTCATATTCGTACTATAATTCTAGGTTAAAATTCCTATTCTAATATTATAAAATAGTGCAATACAATTCCTATGTAATAATCTAATCTATACTATTATTAAAAACAAAATCATAATAACAGTAATAATATGATTAATACTAATAATCGATACTATATATAAAAACAAGAGTTAATACCTCCAATGGTCCTCCGAGTATTAGGGTAATACCAGGTGTGGTCCTCCGAGTTTAAAACGATCATGAGACGTTCTCCGAGTTCAAAAAAATAACCACACGTGGTCCTCCGTTAGGTTTGGTGTCAAATGGACGTTAAGTGTGAGGGCAAACCTGTCATTTCTACTACGAGAAAGAGTTAATACCTCCAATGGTCCTCTAAGTATTAGGGTATTTCCAGGTGTGGTCCCCCAACTTTAAAACGACCACTAAACATCCTACTAGTTTAAAAAAATTACCACTCGTGGTCCTCTGTTAGGTTTGCTGTCAAAGGGGTGTTAAGTCTGAGGGAAAAGCTGTCCTTTTCACCTATATTTCTTCCTCACAAGTTTTGCGGATCCCTCCACCCACAGAATGCCACCTCAAGAGGCCACTCTGCTTCGGCGAGAATGGCAACGAAGGAATCTTTGGCCTCTGGCCGTCAATGGCGAAAGCCGTGGGTTTCAGAAAACGGGCAGCTCTGAAGATTGGCGAACCACCTATGGATGATACCATTAACTCCTCTCTCTCTCCTCAAAGATGGAGTCTTTGGATAACCCATCCTCTATTGTTCATGTTCCAGGGTAGCTCTCTATGCTGATTCTTGGGCACAAAGTTTTCCTATACATGTACCCCACTTTTCCTTTTACTCCATGATTGCGGTATGCTTGATTAAGAAAAAGTGGGGAAAGTGGATACAGAAAATGATCTAGTGACAGTAACTAGGAAACTAGACGTGAAGGCGATGGTGGAGGATTTGAAGAAGCATCTGGGGGGAAAATGTTGCAGACATGCCATTGCTGTGAACGGAGAAGAAAGAAATATAGGTGAAATGACAACTTTGTTCTCAGACTTAACGCCCCTTTGGCAACAAACCTAACTGATGACTACAGGTGGTCATTTTTTTTAAACTAGTAGGACGTCTAGTGGTCATTTTAAAGTCGGAGGACCACACCTGGTAATACCCTAATACTCAGAGGACCATTGGAGGTATTAACTCGTATGAGAAATGACCGGTTTGCCCTCACACTTAACGCTCATTTGACACCAATCTTAACGGAGGACCACGAGTGGTTATTTTTTAAAACTCGGAGGACGCCTCGTGGTCGTTTTAAACTCGGAGGACCACACCTGGTAATACTCTAATACTCGGAGGACCATTGGAGGTATTAACTCTAAAAACAAAATCTTGAACTTTAACTTCCCGCCCAATTCCTAAAAAATCTCGCTTTCTATTAAAATATATTGTTTTCTAATTCCCTATTCGTACTATAATTCTAGGTTAAAATTCCTATTCTAATCTATACTTCTATACTATATATAAAAACAAAATCCTGAACTTTAACTTTCCTGCCCAATTCCTAAAAAATCTCGTTTTTAATAAAATATATTGTTTTCTACTTTCCATTCGTACTATAATTCTAGGTTAAAATTCATATTCTAATATTATAAAATAGTGTAATACAATTTCTATGTAATAATATAATCTATACTATTTTTAAAACAAAATAATAATAATAATAATAATAATAATAATAATAATAATAATAATAATAATAATAATAATAATAATAATAATAATATGATTAATACTAACAATGAATTTATAAAACAGTTAGCAATACAAAATAAAAATAACAAAAAGTATCCCTAATTTAATGAAAATGGAAAAAAGAAAACGGAATTTACTAATTAATACAAATAATAATCCAGCGTAAACAATTCCCGTTGATGCTTGTCCAATTTCCCAATTTATAAAAATCCTAAACAATGATATATAAAAATCTCTAAAGTTACAGCACCGCATACATATATCTACACAATAACTATTAATTTGAGCAATTACTTGCTCGAATTCAAGCAATGATAACATCAACAAACATAAACGATCCAAACCATATCTTAATTGTACTATATAATACGGAGTATTTAATGTTACAATTTAAATAATTGTATATCGATCAAAATATTCTTAATATATTATAACAAACATATTATGTGCATCTCGCGGGTGAAAATACTAGTTATTATTATTATTATTATTATTATTATTATTATTATTATTATTATTATTATTATTATTATTATTATTATTATTTATCTATAATAAAGAAGAATCCAGCCACAAGATTTTCTCTCCAAAATGTGAATGCATTTTGATAGAAACAAGATTAGCAAATATGAATGCATTAATTGTGTGGGTAGATGTATTTATACATATTTTTGAAGTTATTATGTGTATTTATATTTTATAAATTATATTTTATTATTATAACTCTATCTCTATCTCTATCTCTATCTCTATTGCTATCTCTCTCTCTCTCTCTCTCTCTCTCTCTATATATATATATATA